TTACACGTTGCTTGCACCTAGTAGTTTAAATAAGCAAGATAAACAACAATACAAATGTTCAACAACAAAAGAATTGTCCAATGTTAGCAGAATAAATGTACACAAATCGTCATCACATGCAAGATGTACTAATTAATTGAAAATTAAATATGAAAATGTAATTAAAATATAAATGTGAGAATGAGTAAAAATTGAAGATGTTCATTGATATTTAAATGTGATACGGTTAACAAAAATTGTTGTATAAATATAACTAGGAAGAATACCAATGAAGGGCTCGCAAAATGTCCTTTTTAGACAATGGAAACTTACGTGGAAATTTGCAAAAAGATTACTTTTAAATAAAATTATTATATCCTTTTTAGACAATGGAAACTTTTGTGGAAATTTGCAAAAAGATTACTTTTAAATAAAATTATTATAAATGCTCTTAATGTTTAATTTTTCATAAAATCTAATCATTATTGGGTAGGTGCGCAACTTTTGAGACAAATCTTTAAAACTTTCGAGACACGATACATCTTGCAAGACAAATGAATTATATGTTGGACAGTTCTAACTGTCTTGAAAAATCATTCAACTAATCAAAAAAAATATCAATTGTCTTTCGTAGTAATTTGACTAATAAAGACAGTTTTAACTCTCTACGTAGATGGTTGAAAATATTTTTGATTAGTTGAATTTGTCCTATATCTTCGAGATAGCTAGAATTGTTTTGATTTGTCTAGCGCACTAGCAACTATTTCACCAAATTAAATTTTCTATTAACTTCTAAATGTCTTAGAAATTATGCATCCATCAAATAGCATATATATTTTTTTTGTTAAAAAAAGATACAATTGATATTTCACATCTAAAATAACATTTCCTAATTTCCTCAAAAAATTAATCTTTTTATCTCCCACTAGAAAAGGGGCCCCATATAACTACCCATCTAATATTGACATAATGACATCACCCTTCTAGTCCCTGTTTGGTACAGATTAAAATCGGATTTTCAGTAAATTTTGATAAAAATTGATAAAGTATATGGTTGAAAAGTTGTGGATCCCATAAAAAGTGTAATTAAAATGAATTGTTAATTTTGACTTGAAATTTTAATTGAATTTTAATTTAAACCAAACATGGCCTAATAACTTTTTATCTTGAAAAGATTATCCTAAACTCTTCTTATTTGAAAGGAAGAGAGACGTGATAAGTAATTCGGCTGCAATGCCAGAAAAGTCAAAACTTAACAAAAAATTTGACTTTTAAGCAACGATAGGAGCATCCATTTAACCTTGCGATTACACGTGAAACCCCTAACACCATGGTAGTTGCACATGATCTCTACTAATCCTATAACAGAGTAATTAATATAATCACAATTAAAAAGAACTTATATTATTAATGCATTTTTAAATAGTTGAACGAGTCCACTTGCTCATCTTCGATTGCTCTTTCAAGTAGTGTCTACTTTAATATACGAGTAGGTAAGGATGCCTTAATGATGGACCCCACCTGACCTTTTATTAATATTTTTGTAATATTATTCAGCATCACTAGTATTTAATATCTGTTTAGGTGACAACAATTGTGTCATTAAATTAAATATTCAATTAATAGGACCTATAATATACTGATACCTAAACTGACGTTCAATATCACTGGTGCTACATAAAATTATTTTATTTAATACAACCTATAAATATTTGAATAATGATATGCAATATCAGTAGTGCTAGAACACCTGTTTAGGTGTGTATGTTTTAAGTTCAATTAAATGACTCGTGTGACTCTACATTTAGCGCATGTTTAAGCCTCATTTTTTTGTTTAAAATGCGCTTATAAATAATATTATAATGAAAAACATGTAGTTAAAAAATAAGAAAGTCTTAAGTTTGCATGTAATATTATTTTATTGAAGGATGTGTGGTTAAAAATAATAAAAAGAAAAATGTATTTTAAAAATAATGAGGACCAAACAAGAACTCAAATAAATCAGTCATTTAATGTCTTGTAATTACCACTTGGACAAATGCTTAACATATGGATTATGTTACTCTAAATATTTTGTTGTTGAGCTCCTGTTTGAGCCAAATTAAAATTTTATTCTCATTTTTCTACTCGTTTTCAACCACACATTATTCAATAAAATAATATTTTTTATCACATCAATAACTTTTCTTTTTTTTTCAACTATACATTTTTCATCAATCTACTATTCCAAAATGTATTTTTTCAAAATAATATGGCTCAAATAGACACTTAAATTCATTAAAAGATTCTCACGTGATACACACACGTCCATGTCATGGTCGATTCCCAACGACAATTTACAACTCCTTATCCATTACATTTGGTACATAAATTTATGTTTTAAGGACCCATGAGACTGACAGAGGTAGTTGCAAAGCACATTACTTCATCTAGAAATTAATATCACATATTAACCCATTTTG